AGCACACTATTATATATAATATATAGCACACACACACACGTGTATAATACATAGCACACTATATATATATAATACATATAACATAAGCTGAAGTCCTAAGCTGCCTCTTATTTGGTATAAAAAGCCCGGTTGTTCCAGAGTACTGTTGAGGCCTCTTCCAGGTTGCAAATAAGTGAAACTAAGCTCAAGTTGAACAAAAAGAGGGAAGATAGTATAAGGATTCGGGGCTAATTGATGGAGCCCAAGGGCCAACTCACATCTGAGCCTCCGAAGCATATGGACCTGCAAAGATGAGGGCCACGGAGGGTCCATCCAGGCTCCCCTCCACCTGCGAGTTCTGCTCCCAGAGAGCAGCCCACCCATGGCTGTCCTGTGCCCTTCCAATGCAGCCCTAGCTGGTTACCGTGGATGACAAAGCCAGGATTGTTTAGAGGTGTACACTTTTTTGCAGGTGGAGGAACTTCTCTGCAATCTGAACAGCATCTTATATGACACGGTGAAAATGAGGGAATTTCAGGAAGATCCCGAGATGCTTATGGATCTCATGTACAGGTAAGCTTTTCTGATAAAATCAGAGGGTGTCAGTTGAGGGTCTAGGGTTTGTCACTGTGGAGGTCTAGTTAGTGTCATTATTATAGGCCATGTGGGTACACTGTTGTGGATGACATCCAAGAGCATATATAGAAATTGGTAGAAATTGATCATTGAGAGTGAGTTGATTCATGTACACCTTTTTAGAAATGTCCCCCTAATTTAAACTGAGGTATCTTTCACAACAGTATCTTCTACTTACCAGAGAATGAGAGAAAAGAACTATCTATTATCATATGAATTATTTCCTATATTTTTTCCAGTTATATTCAGATTTACATGTACCGTTTTATTTAGAAATCATATTTTACTTAATAGTTTGAAACTTTGTCTTATGGTCCTTGTTCAGGAGAAACTACTTAGAGAAATAAATTGGTTCTGATGTGATGTCATAGACGGGTCGTACTTTTGTCTTGTTATTATTCTGAGAGAAAGGAAAGAAAAGGGAGAAAATTGCTAGAGATCCATTACAAGAGACCTCATTTGATTGGGCCTTTTTCTTCCCCATAAAACTTTAAGTAAATGCTATTTCTTGAGGTCCAACACACGCTACCTGTGATATAAAAACAACCGGACTGATAAATATTTGCTTTTTCCTCTCATTTTGTGAACAGGTGGGGAAAACCTCTAAGGGCGGGTGGGGGTATTCTTGCGGGTGGGGGGAAGTGGCCATGCACAGTAGAACAGTGTCATTAACCAGCTGTCCTTGAAACTTTCTCATTCTGCCTTCAGAATTGCCAAGAGTTACCAGACCTCTCCTGATCTGCGGCTGACCTGGCTCCAGAACATGGCCGAGAAACACACCAAGAAGAAATGCTACACGGAGGCCGCCATGTGCCTGGTGCACGCGGCCGCCTTAGTGGCCGAGTACCTGAGCATGCTGGAGGACCACAGCTACCTGCCCGTGGGCAGTGTCAGCTTTCAGGTGGGGAGCTAATGCAGCTTTTCCTGGGGAGCGGTGGTTCTCAACGGGGGGGCGGGCTTGCCTCCCAGCCCAGAAGGCATTTGACGATCTCTGGAGACATTTCTGGTTGTTACAACCAGGGATCAGCTCCCACCGCAAAGAGTTATCTGGCCTCAAATGTCAATAGTGCCAAGGTTGAAAGAAATCTCCTTTAGTGTATTATATTTGCCTCTTCTAATTGCTTTACTATCTTGTTTTTTTAAATTATTTACAATAAATGTAGAGTTGATAGCCACTCTAGGCATTCCCAAACACTCAGATCCATGATTTCATTTGACCCTCCCCATCCACCAGTGAAGCAGGCAGATAGGCAACGTACTCTGACTCCTACTTTACAGATAACAAAACTGAGAGAGCAGTTTTTCTAAGGTCATTTAAACTCTTTCTCAAAGACTTGGAGTTGGCACAGGACACTGAAAACTGAGAAAGTATTTTCCAGACACTAGAGAAATGATTTCCCACATGATCCATTCCTTTGATCACATGCCCCAACTCTGTAGCGTCCCACACCTCAGTCCCAAAGCAAGGAAGAACCGCATGGACCTGGGAAAGGCAAAAGGGAGCTGAAGCAGTACTTTCTTAGGATAAGCTAAATATTGCCCACAGTTAGCAAAGGGTCTAGCAGGTCTGAAAATTGGCTCAGGCTAGGATGCTCAGTGGCCACTTGGATAGCTTTTGCTGAATAGTTTAATACAGTCTTTAGAGAAAATAAAAGTTTTATGAGTCCTTTTGTAAGAGAGACATAATCTGCAGCAATGACTCTTCTTGAATCCACAAACAGTCCAGTAATAGAGCCCTTTTCAAGCCAGATTCACAGTCATTTGTAAGTGCTCGTATTATCCTTGTTTCAATCTATATGACTGATTTTATAAAAGGCTTTTTTTTTTTTTCAGTCTTGTTCTTCAGCACAATTTTGTGATGGCTATGTGAACCAGAGGGAGAGGACAATTCAGAGTAGCTTCCCCAGGCTTTGGGAAGAAGTCACTGGAACCATTGCTGGGGGGCGGTGGTTGGGAGCTTCTGATTCCCTAGAACTCTGTTCACCTGTGTACCTGTCTGCTATTTATTAAGCCCTCCTTTTTTATGGCTTTCAGTAGCAATAGAATTTATTCTGACATTTCATCCTCAGCAAATCACTTCTCTTCTCAATTCAGAAATGTGTGTTATAAAGGCCAAAAATGAAATTCTTATCCAAAAAGCATAAAAATATCACATCTGATTTTCATTTGCATAAAAATGAAGGAAGTTACAAAAGTCATTTTAGATGTATCTGCTGCTTTCATCACATTTATTTTGGCCGTTTGATATTATCAAGGATAACATATTTTAAGTGCTACTCTTTCAATTCCCAGAAAATCTTTGGGTTTTTTACTTCATGTTGAATCATATTATCCTCTTTCCATGCTTCATTAACTGAACTATTTCTTGTCATTCTTTTATGCCTTTTTCACAGTTGCTATATTCTATTTGATATTTATCACTTAAGTATTAATGGCATTTCATTATTGACTCTCATGTTTGGTAAGCTTGAGAATTCTAATTTCGCCTAGAATTCATTTGATGCTTATAATAAGCCATGCCAAGGCGAGATAGAACAGTTATTCTAGAACCAACAGGAAGACTCCACATTGTCCCCATAGGGGAGCATTGAGCTCTATTTTTCATGTATCTATATCCATTCATTTATTCTTCTAGATGATATTCATTGAGCACTTACTGTGTCCTCGTGAACTTTACCTTCTAGCCAGGGAGAGCGACATCATCTAACTATTCTATTCCTTATTCAATTACAATTATGATAAATGCTGTAAGAAAGAGGTACAAGTGGGGCGCCTGGGTGGCTCAGTCGTTAAGCGTCTGCCTTCGGCTTAGGTCATGATTCCAGGTCCTGGGATCGAGCCCCACATCGGGCTCCCTGCTCCGTGGGAAGCCTGCTTCTCCCTCTCCCACTCCCCCTGCTTGTGTTCCCTCTCTCACTGTGTCTCTCTCTCTGTCAAATAAATAAAATCTTTAAAAAAATTAAAAATTAAAAATTTAAAAAAAAAAAAAGAAAGAGGTACAAGATGCCGTGTTTATAATCTGACCTAACCTGGGGGTCGTGGGAAGCTCAGAAGGACCAGGAAGGTGAAGGGGGAGGCAGAAGGAATTGTGGAGTATCAGGTCTTCATGATACACAAAACATGGTGAGGTAGGTATTCTTGGCTACAGAAGAGAATCCAAATTATGTTGTTGCTTTTGAGCCAGTTCTTTTCCTTCAAAGGAGACATACCAAATCTTTTTTGGAAATGTATACTTGCAAGTGACAGAATACCAAACCTAGACTGACCTAGGGTAGAAATGGAATTTATCAGCTTCCGTGAGGGAAATGAGCCAGGAGCAGCACCTGTCGAACTGGAAGGAGAGGCCCAAACCGTGCCATCGGACCTCGGTGTTGTCACCACTTCCTGTCTCTGCTTTCCCTTACATCGACTTCATCCTGCACGGGCTTCCCATGCTCACCGAGAAGTATTTAGGTTTATGCCTTCCCAGGTTCAAGACCAGGAGACCAGAGCGATGGCTCATTTCTAGCAGTTGCAGAGAAAGTCTCACTGCATCTTACTGGGTGTGACAGGGTCATGTGCTCGGCCCTGAGCCAATCAGAGTGGCCAGAGAAATGGAATGCGCTGATTGGCTGGGCCAGAGTGGCGGTCCACACCTGGACTTGGATGGTTTCCCAGGAGGTCTTACTCTACAAAAGGATGAGGGACTTCTGGACAGCATTAACAACAGATGTTCAGAGTTGATTTCTCAAATGCTGTGTGCTTTAGCTTTCAACCTTGTTCTGCGCCAATAAAATTGAATTTTTGGAAAAGAATTATAAACTGGAGATAAATAAATCTGTGCAAGGAAAATAACTTTGAGGCCACTGAATTCCAAGGCACTGAGATCGTTGAAATTCTGTGTCCCAGACTGCAGTGTTTCTTGCACAAATGTAGATACGGATACATTCTCAGATATTGCCGTGACTTTTGCCTCCCTGACTCTGAAGCCAGGAAAGTCGGCCAGAATCCTTTTTCTCTGGTTACAGCTAATAAAGCTTCATTACTTCAGAGCTGTTCCTCTACCTGTAGAAAATTACATACAATTCTCATAGTACTCATTTCTTGAGTTATTAGATTCTTTCAGCTGAATCCCTTGGACTTTCTCTTATTTCCAGTTTGGAAACATCACAATAGAAAGGCCAGGTTTGGAAAAAAGACTGGCCATAAGAGAGTCTGAGCGTCTCATATATTCCTCAAAATACATTACAGTCTTGGATGTGAAGATGAGAGGACTGTGACAGCTCTTTTCCTTGATTGCCAAGGTTGATGTGCTTGATCTTGCTAGCCAAGCCAGGAAGCAGATGTTTTTACTTCCCAGGCCAACTCTAGTCAGTTGGTAGTGGTTGACTGGAGTGCTACACTAAGAATTTTGAGAATACAGTTGACCCTTAAACAACGTGGAGGTACAACCCCCCACCCAGTCAAAAACCCACAGATAACTTTAACTTCCCCCAAAACTTTACTAATAGCCTACTGTTGAGCAGACACCTCAGTGGTAACATAAACAGTTGATTCACCTGTGTTTCGTATGCTAGGTGTGTAAGATATTGTATTCTTACAATAATACCTAACTTTTCCTTAATATTTTTGGTATTTCTAAACTACACGACTTCTGAGTTTTTCAAATTGTTGCAGATCTCAAAAAATTTTTCCAATATATTTTTTAATTTGATTTTGTTTAAATTCAGTTAATTAGCATATAGTGTATTCTTAGTTTCAGAGTCCAGTATATTTTTGAAAATGCGTACAAGTGGACCTGTGCAATTCCAACCCGTGTTGTTCAAGGATCGACTGTGTATCCAAACTTCAAGGGAAACGGTGCTATAATTGATTAGTTGTGCCTGTTACGAGTGTAGGAATGGGAAAGAGTGGCATGTGTGCTACCTGTTTGCAGTCTCTAAGCTGGGAAGATGTCCCATTGCTTTTATGCTCCTTATGCATTTCTTCCACAACTCTGAGACAGGCTGAAAAAAAAAAAAAAGATTCTTAACATGTTAAAAGTATGAGAGTCACTGCAAGGGCCAGAGCTGGGGTGAGGCCAGAGGCACCTAAGGGGCAGAATGTAAGGAAGCAGCTCACTCCTAGGGTCAAGCAAATTCAGAGTCATCACTTACTGAGATTGGATGGACCCTGAGATTGAATGCCTCTCTAAAGGCTGTGCCCTCGGTTTCTCACTTGGTTCACCCTAGCCTGGGCCCTGGTTACTGCACTCTCTGCTGGAGACTTATTATTATTTTTTTAAGATTTCATTTATTTATTTGACAGAGAGGGAACACAAGCAGGGGGAGTGGGAGAGGGAGAAGCAGGCTTCCCGCGGAGCAGGGAGCCCGATGCGGGGCTCGATCCCAGGACGCCGGGATCGTGACCTGAGCCGAAGGCAGACACTTAACGACTGAGCCACCCAGGCGCCCCTCTGCTGGAGGCTTTAAACTCTATGGTTTGTGTAAAGGAAAAGCTTGAAAAAAAGAACAAAATGGGAGACAGCAACGGTAATGGTTGCATTGCCACCGACATGGCCGCCAAAAAGACATTTTCATTGGCTATTATCATATAATATGGCTGTTCAACTGAAGATCAAGTCAGTAGCAGCACACCTCCAAGGTTCACTGGGCTGCTGAAACAAGGAATCTGCTTAGCTGTTAATTGGTCTTTGCCTTTTTTTTTTTTTTTAAAGATTTTATTTATTTATTTGAGAGAGAATGAGATAGAGAGAGAGCACAAGAGGGGGGAGCGGGAGAGGGAGAAGCAGACTCCCCGCCGAGCAGGGAGCCCGATGCGGGACTCGATCCCGGGACTCCAGGATCATGACCTGAGCCGAAGGCAGTCGCTTAACCAACTGAGCCACCCAGGCGCCCTGGTCTTTGCCTTTTAAAAACCATGACCCCTGCTGGATGTCCCATAGGGTTATTTCATGACAGTAATTCAGTTGTTCTTATATTGAGGTAAGTGTCCCTTTATGTATGTCCTCAAGGTCAAAAAGAAAAGAAAATTGTAAGTTTTGAAGACCAGTTGCTCAGTGTATCCTTTCAAAATAAATGGCAACCAGGGCGTCTTGTGGGTGGAATTAGAGATATTCTATGATCACAGGCTCTCTGAGGATCTTCAAACGTGGGCTGGCTCAGTGCCCCATCTTGGGTTCCTCTGGTACCTTTTGTTAGTCCGGTTCCCCTGTTCTCCGGGCTTATCCTGGGATCTCTTTCAGAACATTTCTTCCAACGTGCTGGAGGAGTCTGCAGTCTCTGATGACACCTTGTCACCCGATGAGGACGGTGTGTGCTCGGGCCGATACTTCACCGAGAGTGGCCTGGTGGGCCTCCTGGAGCACGCAGCTGAACTCTTCAGCACGGTCAGTGCTCACAGGGGTCCCGGGGCCTCCGCAGTGGGGCGAACCCCCAGCACTGTGAATGCCAGTCTTACCCCGAGCCAGGCACACCTCCTGCTGGGCTGTGTGGGGTGGGGGGGCAGAGGGTGGCCCCAGATGACTTTGATGTATGCAAATCACGTCAGGTCTGGAGGGAGCTGAGAAAGCCTTTCATCACTGCAGTATTCTGGTCTTCATGGCAGGCTTTTTGGCTGGGCAGCAGTTATACCGTATTATTTCCATTTACTAGGGGGTAAATTAGGCCACAGAGAGGTGAAATGGCTTGCCCAGGGTTATACCACAAATGATGAGGCATGTTCTCACTCCCTCATTTTCCCTCTCATGGAGAAAAGTATTGGGGTGGAGCCACTGGGAAGGGAGGGAGGGAAGAGATGGACCAGCTACCTTTCTGACGACTGGGTAGTCCTCAGGATTGGCGCAAACCAGGCCCAGCTGAGAGAACTATGGGAGGGCAAACCACTGAGACTCCCCTCATTTGCCTTATCTGGGTCTACACACTTCAGATAAGATAAACAAAAATAGGTAGATTAAGTCAGTGAGATTCAGGGCAGTAGAGAAAGTCTGTTGCCCATTTTCATGTTAATAATCGCACTCCTCCCGCCAGTTTTAAGCCAAGTAAATATTTAATACTTCACTATATTTAGCTGATCCAATTTTATGTTCATCCTTATGGTTTTCTTTCTTTTTTACCTTTCATTTCCAAGTTTCCTACCCTACGACCTCTATGTATTTTTTGTTTTAACTATCTTTTCTTTTTTCTGCTTTCCATTTCAGGATTCAGAGAAAGTACAGTATACTTCCATTTTTCCTAAAATTCAAGAAAGTGAACTAGTTAGAATCCTACCAATTCCTTTTAGGCAAGCATGGAACATCTGGCTAAGCGTGACCCCAGATGACATTTAATGATGCTGAAGCTGCCTTCCTGAATAGTTACTAGTCCCTGCTGCCAATCTGCTGTTTTTATTCCTTGGAAACCCTTTTGCCCACTTAACATCATCATATAGGACCCTTCAGCATGTGTCTAATTCCGGTTGCGTGCTCCGGCCATCCCAGAGAAGCTGAGACGTCACTCCTGCTCTGTAAAATATTGTGGTGCCCATAACTAATCCATTCTCCAGCACATAATGAACTCTGGATGCTCTTCTTAACTTTCCACTGGATTAAATTCTTGTTGATTTTCTTCTTTTTCTAAGGGAGGATTGTACGAGACGGTTAATGAAGTCTACAAGCTGGTCATTCCCATCCTGGAAGCACACAGAGACTTCCGGAAGCTGACCTCCACCCACGACAAGCTACAGAAGGCTTTTGACAGCATCATCAGCAAGGTATCTGGGGAGTCTGGCCAGCAAGTCCTTTTACCTGGCAGCATGTGGCCCTGTCCCAGAGATCCTTAGCCCTGCTTCCTCTCTAGCGAGCGATTTGCCTTGAGCACTTCATTGCTGTAGCTCTTGCCTACCCAATGGAGAGGGGCTGGGAATAAGGCAGAGGACCAGAGGTTGGACAGTTCCGACTGGAAGAAAGCACCTTGAATGACTTTACAAACAGGAAATGTGAGGATTTTTAAAGTTCACTTCAAAGAAATCCTAGAAATCTTTCGTGGCATTTCTTTTTTTAAATTATTTCCAAAGTTTCTTCCATAAACGTTACATTTTTTTAAAGGCTTGATTTCGGTTTATGTTAGCTATAGGAATAAAATGCTGTGTAACACAATAACAAAAGAATCCTGCCCTTTACAAGCCTATAGATCCTCACGAATGACCTAACTAAAGAGAGGTTTTCTTATTTTGCTCATTAGGGTCACAAGAGAATGTTTGGGACCTACTTCCGAGTTGGGTTCTATGGATCCAAATTTGGGGATTTAGATGAGCAGGAATTTGTTTACAAAGAGCCTGCTATTACCAAGCTTCCTGAGATCTCTCACAGACTAGAGGTAAGAAAAGCGCTCGACTCCATATACTTCACAAAAGCAAGTTAGAGTGGGTCACTGCCAAAAAAAGAGTTACGGATTCATCATTGATCTGTATAAAAATTTGTCCAGATTGCATTTTTAATATGAAGGTATTAGGTGAGATCATAAGGTAAAGCATGATTTGGAGAGTTTTCTCCTAAGATTCTGTATTTGCTTGTCAAAGTTTGTAAATTTATAGGGTGAGTATTTATTTTCAAGGCTACCCAAAAGTCAGTTGTTGTCATGTGCTTTCCTATCACTCTTGAAATTTTAGTAATAGTTTTTCAGCCTTAAGATTATCACCTTGACTTTGAATCCTGCCAAATTACTGAGTTATCCCTAGAAAGTGTTGTGGCCATCACAACATCTAGTGGTATCACTAGACAACACATCCCACTTCTGACACAGAGATGTTCACAGTAGCCATGCCTTGAGCTGGGGCATGGTGAGCTCTTCCTGCTGAGCTGGTCCAAGGAGCCCTCCTCTGCGGATTATCAGAGTCAGTGTCCCGTCTCTTAGGCTGGAAGCCCCAACTCCAACCTGCTGTCTACACTTCATCCATAGTGTCACAGAAAAGAAGCGGCATGTTCCTAGAGGAAAGGATGGAGAAACAGGAAAACAGCCTGGAGAAAAGTGAGAAAAGCAGACATGGAAAGGGCCAAGCACTAAGAACTCAGGATGAAAGTCAAGGGATGTCCTCCAGACAAAACCCTCGCAGGCAGAGTACCTGGGGACCCCAAAGTGCTGACACTTAATTCAAGATTCATTCCTTATGCCTGCTTGTCATTGCTTCAAATTTATGCTTCTTCATAGCTGTAAAACTTAAAAACACTTTAGTTGCCAAATGGCTCCTTATGCTATCCATCTCTGGAAAAGAAGAGACTTTAATTCCTACTGGACTCAAAGAAGCCATGGCACAGAGTGGTTGAGTAACTTGTCCAAAGTCATTCAGCTCATGAGAAGGAAAACCAGCAATTGACCCCAGGCCACTTGGTTCCCTATTATGTTTCTCCAACGTGGGACTAGAAGTGTGTGTTTTGTCTTCTTGTGAAATGTGTGGTTCATCACATTCTGGGAAGCCTAGTGACCTCCAAGCTCCTAGGGTACAAAAGACAAGAAGTAAATTGTGCCATTCCCCTGGAGCTGCTTCTGGAAAGATGAAGACATTGGTTGAGTTAGAGGTCAAACACACTTATTTTAGGGAAGCATCCATCAGTTTGCAATGCTGCACTTCCTTATATTTTTATTTTTGTCTCCAGAAATGCTAACTTGCCTCATTAGCTGAGAAGGACTTCCAATAATCAATGAACAAATTCTTCCTTAAGCTTGTTCCAAACTTACTCAACTTTTTTTTTTTTTTTTGGATGAAGCTTTTTTTTTTAAGGAAATTTTTTTTTATTCTTATGTAAAAACCCCATACATTACATCCAAACTTACTCAACTTTTAAGACACAAAGAGTTGCATTATATTAAAATAGTCTTTGTAATCTGTTGGTTCTTCTTGCCTAGGGATTTTATGGCCAATGTTTCGGTGAAGAATTTGTAGAAGTGATAAAAGACTCTGCTCCTGTGGACAAAACCAAGTTGGATCCTAACAAGGTATGGGGAAGTTCGCAAAAAGTCACCCTCAGTCTCCGATTCCCTTCATTCTACCCCCCAAAAGACAAAATGTTCTCCTCTGTCTGGGCTCTCAAAGTCACTTTGGTGTAGCCAGACTTTTTTGTCGAGGGTTCAACTATCATGTGGTTAGATCTTAAATCATATTCCAAGGCAGGAACCATAAGAGCTACCATTAATTAAACACCAGCTGCGTGCCTGGCACTGCATCGGGCCCTTTGGGTACATCATCTCCTTTTATCCACCAAGAGCCCTTTGAAGTAGGTGTGGTTATTCCTATTTCACAGATGAGAAAACTGAGGTACAAAATTGTCAGGCAGCTTTCCAGGATCATGCAGGTGTCCAAGCCAGGACCCAAGCTCAGGGTCTGTCCTCCTCAAACCCATCCTCCTGATCACTGTTCTCTATTGCCTTCCTATGCAAAGTTTTACACTCAACTTCAAACATGTTGAAAAGATGCAAACTTCTCACTGCCAGCGCTTGGTGGCACCCCGCTTTAGGCTGCAGAACTTTCTTCCAGCCAGGTGCAGGGCCCCCGTGACATTGGGGGAATGATGGGCAGGGCTTGGACCTCAGCGACCTCCCTTGTCACAGGAGGGCGTATTCTGTCCCATCCCCGGCTGGGTGTGCCGCATCCAGTGTGGACACTCTCCACCCCGAGCCAGCGGCAGGGGCTCAGGCCTCCACAGCCCTGCCCTCTCTTCCGACACCAGCCTCAGGTCACCCCCACGTCTGACCAAATGGTTACTAATTTGGGGGTTCCCGCGGCAGCCCTCAGGTTAAGGAATTCACTAGAGTGACTCACAGACCTCAGGGAAGTACCTTATGACAATGACAGTTTTATGATAAAGGATACACAGAAGGCAAGGTCTGGGAAGGACCCTAGCACTTCCATGCCCTCTCCTTGTGGAATCAGGGCACGTCCCCCAGCCTCCCCCTTGCCCAGCAGGTCTATATATTCACCTGTCAGGAAGCTCCACAGTGTCTTGGTGTTCACAGTTTAATGTCCAGGCATGATTGATTAACTTGTGGGCCACATTACTGAACTCAAGTCTCCAGCTCTGCCTCCCCGCCCTGGTTGAGCCCAAAGTCAGCCCCGACTCCCAACCCTCTAATACGTGCTTGGTCTTTTGGGTGACTGCCCCCATCCTGGGACCCACCAAGCTTGGGTCACCTCATTAAAATAACAAAGACGCTCCTATTCCTCAGGGCATTCCATGAGTTTTGGAAGCTGCGTGCTAGCAAATGCAAAGACTAGATATATTCCCCGTGTATCACGGGGGGGAGGGGGGGGGGCGGGGCTGTCCGCCTGCTCAGCCCACCTCATAGATGTGTTCATGAGACTGTGTAAGCTGCTGGGAATAATGCAAGTTCAAGGTATTTATGAAACGCTAGGGCCCAGAGGAGCGTTTGCTATTTGGCAGGCCTGGAAAGTGAAGAGTCCAAATTCTTCCCTCAGTTCTGTCCTCCAGGATGTTAAGGAGATGATGCAAGTAGGGAGGAATTGACCAAATGCAAGTTTGCTTTTCTCCAGATTTTGAAAGACTTGCTCACTTCACGCATCTTCCCTAGCCCAGGCCTACGGTGGTAAGTGTGGTAGGAGCTGAGCAAGGCTTCGACAGAGGTGTCAGAGGTCCTTGGATGATAGGCGTGCACAGCACATGCCGCGGAGAGTCACCATTGTCCCCAGTGACGTCCCTGACACGTGGTGCGCTTGTGCCCTCTTCTAAAATGCCCAAGGCCGGTGCTGAGAGTTTTAAATGAGATGCCAAACCCAGAATGACAGCAGGATTTCATCACACTAAATAGTGATTTATAGGCTGAGGTCAGTGTCGTCCCCCACCCTTTTCACTGGGTGGGTATTACAGAGCCTTTGGTCACTGTCATTCTTTTTTTTTTTTTTTTAAACAGGGCATTTCTTAATAAGTGCCCTGTTCAGTGTGTGTGTGTGTGTGTGTGTGTGTGTGTG